CCCGACCCCCAGCACGGGCTTAGCAACGCGGGGAGCCCGCTGACGGGCGGGCGGGGCCCCCCAGGCTCCTTCCCCCCGGCTCTGAGCTGCTCCAGGCTTCCCATCCCCTTTTTATCCGCAGAGATTTTTTTTTTATTATTTTGTTTGTTTTGCATCGGGTAACACAGCCGCGGAGACCCAGAGGCTTCCCAAATCCGGGAACCGGGTACCGCAGCCAGCTGGGATGCGATTTCGCGGAGGGGGATGCGGGAGCGGGAAGGGGAGCTTGTGGGAAATGAGGATCTTTTGGCACCCGGAGGGCTGGGAAGGGCCTGGGAGCTGCTTGAGCAGTGTGGGACCCTTTATGGGTGGCGCCTTGCCCCGAGCCGAGTATGCGGCAGGATGCGGTGTCTGGGCTCGGCCTTGGCTGGTTTTAAGGCAGGGAGCTCCCTCTTCCTTCCGTCTCTAAAAGCAGCTGGCGAACCAGGGGTCCGCGGAGATTTTTGGCTGGACTTCAGCAATGATGTAGTCCAGGGGTTTTTTTTCAGCGTATGCTAAAGTGCATGAGGCATCGGGGACCCCGCGGGGGACCAGCGTGTCTTTCTGCTCCCACCTGGGAGGGATCGGAAGTGCCTCCGGTACTGGAAAGCATCATATTGTAGTTGGATGTTGCCTGGTGTGGGAAAACTGCCCTGGGGGCTTGGCTGGTCTCTGCACGCCCTGTCCCCCCCCTGTGGAGGACCTTCAGTGTCCATCAGCATCAGCCTGGGGGGGTGTCAGCAACCGACCCCATTGCTTAAGGCCCCGTGGGGTTCCTGTCCCATCCCGGGGTCTGAAATGTTTTTCCTCGCTCTGCGCTTGCGTGACCTCCGTCTGCCACTGAGCACAACCTTCCCGAGTATTTTGAGCCACAGAGCTAAGAATATCTCACACGGTGCCCCGTGTCTGGGCTTCGCGCAGCTCCCCATGGCCGCGGCCATGTCCAGTGCCGGTAGGCAGGGAGGGAGAGGGCGCAGGGAGCCTGGCAGGGGCTGCGGGCAGGGGGAGTTCCCCGGCCCTCAGCAGGCCCTGGGTGTGAGTGGGTGCTGGGGAGGTGGGGAGGTGGGAGCTGGAGGCTGTGCGGGCGGCTGCATTTGGGATTCCTCCTCCCGCAGCCCCCCTGGGCTCTGGGCAGCAGCTCAGACCGGAGGAGCCATCCCGCCAGCTCCGCAGGCTACGAGCGGCTCGCTGCTGGGAGAGGCTGCCAGGGTGCTGGCTGCAGAGCAGGAGTTGGAGGGAGGCGATGATGGAAAGGGGCTGAGCTCCATAGATTTGGGGCCATTGTAGAGGAGACAAGGGCTGGCGCCGCCTGGGAGAAGGATAGCGGGTTTAGAGCATTCCAGGGCAGACGGAGTGATGGAGAGGAATAGATTTTCCTCCTGAAAAACTTCTGGTTAGGGTAGCCCCTTGGGTTAGCAGCCAGGTTTATGCCCTACGTGCATGCCAAGAGCTTGAATCGTTTTTGCTGTTGCCTGCCTTCCCACGGCACTTCAGGACAAGGAGAGCCGCCCCTCCGGAGCCAGGCTGCACCCTGCTGCCCTGGGATGGGGTGCTGGGGAGGCAGCAGCCCAGCACTGGCATCCTAGCCCGCTGCTCTGCGTGGGTTCCTGGCTCCTGGCTTATTTAACCGAGGACTGCTCACGCGGAGAAACCTCCAGAGTATTCAGCACCAGCCCCACTGAGCCGGAGCTGAGATGGCTGGGGAGTGGGGCAGGCTAAGCCGAAAATGCTAGTGGGCCCATGGTGGTGGCACCTGCTGCAGGTGACCCTGGTGGCACGGGGGGTTGGACCAGAGAGCCCCAGGGGCCCCCTCCAGCCTGGGCGGTGCGGTGGGTGCAAGCACCGGCTCCTGCTGTGGGTGCCTGAGCAGGGCCAAGGGCAGCGGGGTGCGGGGAGCTGGGGCTTGCCCCACTGCAGCGGGGCAGGGCTGCAGGGCCAGGTATGGCCCCAGCTGGGTCATGCCTTGAGCTGCTGGTTAAACCCCTCGGGAGGAAAGCCTGTGGCAGAGCCTTGGCCAGGGCACGGGACCAGCGCAGTTTGGGGGCTCCGCAGGGTCAGCCCTGCCCCGGTCTCCTGGTGCTGGGGTGCCCCGCTGCATCCCACATCCCTTCCCCAGTGCCTCCCAGCAGGCTGCTCCGCTGGCCACCGGCAAGGCTTGAGTCACCCTGCCCGTCCCGCCTCTTCCTTCCCTCGTCCTCCCCAGGCCCCATAGATAGAGCTGTCTCTGCACCCCGCTGGGCTCCTCCCTTCCCGGCCCTATTGACTCAGTGCTCAGGCAGCCAGGGTGGCTTTCGGCTTTCGAGGGAGAGGGAAGAGGGAAGAGGGAAGAGGGAAGAGGGAAGAGGGAGAGGC